ACCAACAATATAAAAATTGAAAGAATTGCAAGAAATTGAAAGACATAGCTACCTACCTCTCAATACTTGAAATAATTGATAAATTGAAAGAATTGCAAGAAATTGAAAGAAATAGCTACCTACCTCTTAATAGTTGAAATAATTGATAAAACTGAAATAATTGATAAAACTGAAATAATTGATAAAACTGAAATAATTGCAAGAAATTGAAAGAAATAGCTACCTACCTCTCAATAGTTGAAATAATTGAAAAATTTAAAGAATTGCAGCAATTGCTAGCTACTCAAGCCAACAATATAAAAATTGAAAGAATTGCAAGAAATTGCAAGAAATTGAAAGAAATAGCTACCTACCTCTTAATAGTTGAAATAATTGATAAAACTGAAATAATTGCAAGAAATTGAAAGAAATAGCTACCTACCTCTCAATAGTTGAAATAATTGATAAATTGAAAGAATTGCAAGAAATTGAAAGAAATAGCTACCTACCTCTTAATAGTTGAAATAATTGATAAAACTGAAATAATTGCAAGAAATTGAAAGAAATAGCTACCTACCTCTCAATAGTTGAAATAATTGAAAAATTGAAAGAATTGCAGCAATTGCTAGCTACTCAAACCAACAACATAAAAATTGAAAGAATTGCAAGAAATTGAAAGAAATAGCTACTTACCTCTCAATACTTGAAATAATTGACAAAATTGAAATAATTGCAAGAAATTGAAAGAAATAGCTACCTACCTCTCAATAGTTGAAATAATTGATAAATTGAAAGAATTGCGGCAATTGCTAACTACTCAAACCAACAATATAAAAATTGAAAGAATTGCAAGAAATTGAAAGAAATAGCTACCTACCTCTCAATACTTGAAATAATTGATAAAATTGAAATAATTGCAAGAAATTGAAAGAAATAGCTACCCACCTCTCAATAGTTGAAATAATTGACAAAATTGAAATAATTGCAAGAAATTGAAAGAAATAGCTACCTACATATCAATAGTTGAAATAATTGATAAATTGAAAGAATTGCAGCAATTGCTAGCTACTCAAACCAACAATATAAAAATTGAAAGAATTGCAAGAAATTGAAAGAAATAGCTACCTACCTCTTAATACTTGAAATAATTGATAAAATTGAAATAATTGCAAGAAATTGAAAGAAATAGCTACCTACCTCTCAATAGTTGAAATAATTCACAAAATTGAAATAATCGCAAGAAATTGAAAGAAATAACTACCTACCTCTCAATAGTTGAACTAATTGATAAATTGAAAGAATTGCAGCAATTGCTAGCTATTCAAACCAACAATAGTTGAAATAGTTGAAACTATAGCAGAAAATTGCAAACCAGATTGCAGCAATTGCAAGCTACTTTTGAAAGAATTGCAGCAATAGCTTGCTACTCAAACCAACAATATAAAAATTGAAAGAATTGCAAGAAATTGAAAAAATAGCTACCTACCTCTCAATAGTTGAAAAAATTGCAAGTAATTGAAAGAAATAGATAGCTACGTTTCAATTATTGAACAATTGAAAGAATAGAAGAAAATTGAAAGCCAGATTGCAATTATTGAAAAAATGGGTAAAAACTCAGATCCTGCACCTAAATGCTGAATGTGTGTTGCTTTTTTCCCCCATATTGAGGGATATATCTTATTATGGCGGTGATGCCAATTCAGATTTTGACCTGTAATTGGTATCATATGGCAGTTGCGAACAACACTAAAGGAATTTGTGGTCCTGGACCAGTAACTCTGGCACTCAGGCTAAAGTTCCAAGAGGTTGGATTTCTGATCTCAGGATCAACCCACACTTGTATATACGTTGAAATATTATTCAATTAGAATTGGTGGATTATTATTATGGTAATTGGTATTTGATAACAAATTTGGTGGTTAATAACAATTTTGGTGGATTAAATAACATTGGTGGTTGGCCTGCCATTATTTATTTCGGTGGTTAAATTGTGGTGGTACTAACTGGACAATTTATAAAAATGAAATAAAATTTATATTTCATCAGCTGTGCCATATCATTGCCAAATAAAAATCATTTCATATTATTTCTTGTTGTTTAATCTCCTCTTAAATAATTCCATCTATTGATTTAACAAAAGATGAATTTATTGCAGGAAGATCATTAGATGTAGTTTGTTTATGTCTGCAAACTGACATTAATGAGACCTACGATTATGTTCATACTATGCTGTACATGTATTAACTGGGTAAGCTCAACTAATGTAAACATAGTCTGGTTTATCACATATAACATCTTAAGGTAGCAGTATTTTATGAGTGTCTAAGAGTTATCTCCTCTTGTTTGGGTTATGAGGCCTAGAGGGCAGCTCTGAACATCCTCTTTTAAAATATTAGCTGATCAGCAAGGTTGGGCAAATTTTTAATTTTCAAATATATGTTGGTCTTAGCCTAATTTCGTAAAATAATAACCCACCCATCCTCTCACTGAACTTGTGAGTTGCTGTTTGCTCTGTTTTATCATTTCAGGCATATGTGAAAGCTGTTTAGTTAATGGTACTGTATTTTAATGTGCAGTAGATTTTTATCAACATTAATTTAGTGAAACTGAAGTCGGTACAGCTGATGGGATTTTGGTGATATAGGCAGTTGCGAACAACATTAAAGGAATTTGTGGTCCTGGACCAGTAACTCTGGCACTCAGGCTCAAGTTCCAAGAGGTTGGATTTCTGATCTCAGGATCAACCCACACTTGTATATACGTTGAAATATTATTCAATTAGAATTGGTGGATTATTATTATGGTAATTGGTATTTAATAACGAATTTGGTGGTTAATAACAATTGTGGTGGTTAATAACAATTTTGGTGGATTAAATAACATTGGTGGTTGGCCTGCCTTTATTAATTTCGGCGGTCAAATTGTGGTGGTACTAACTGGACAATTTATAAAAATGAAATAAAATTTATATTTCATCAGCTGTGCCATATCATTGCCAAATAAAAATCATTTCATATTAATTCTTGTTGTTTAATCTCCTCTTAAATAATTCCATCTATTGATTTAACAAAAGATGAATTTATTGCAGGAAGATCATTAGATGTAGTTTGTTTATGTTACGATTATGTTCATACTATGCTGTACATGTATTAACTGGGTAAGCTCAACTAATGTAAACATAGTCTGGTTTATCACATATAACATCTTAAGGTAGCAATATTTTATGAGTGTCTAAGAGTTATCTCCTCTTGTTCAGGTTATGAGGCCTAGAGGGCAGCTCTGAACATCCTCTTTTAAAATATTAGCTGATCAGCAAGGTTGGGCAAATTTTTAATTTTCAAATATATGTTGGTCTTAGCCTAATTTCGTAAAATAATAACCCACCGATCCTCTCACTGTGCACATCAGCTGTGCCTAATCATTGCCAAATAAAAATCATTTCATATTATTTCTTGGTGTTTCATCTTCTCTTANATAAGTAATTTTTGTTTTGCAATCTTATCATCTAATCTAGATATTAATGAAATTAAATTTTGTTTTTGAATAAAACTTATTAAACCTGCTACCTCATGTTGTAGTTTAGTTTCATTAACAAAATTTTTATTATTTAGTTGACGTTTGAAGAATCTTTTAACATTACTTATTTTATCTTCTAAATGGTTTTTATTTACTTCAATTGAATTTATTTGTTCCCGTAAATATTTCTTGTGAACAGCGTCATTATCATTTTCCGGAGACTTTAAATTAGTTACTTTGAAATTGTTCATATCTAAATCACCTTGAAGAGTGTCTCCGATTTGATCCACAAAGTGTTGGGTTTTTTAGTTTCTAAAGATAAAGAACCTAATCCAAACTTGTTCGCCATTTTTATTAAGTTAAATTTATTACAATTTCTTCAAACTGTTTTCCTAAACTCAACTGATATAAAACCCAAAGTGAAAGCTGTCCACAAAACTTTTGTCCCGGTAATTGAATTTGAAATGTTGAACATTTGATTGGTTTATTAGTCAATTTCATTATTTCTTATTAGTTGGTTCTAATCTAATTAATTCTAAAAAATTAATGTGTGCCTTTATTGACCTAAAAAAGGCTTTCGACTATGTGGACAGACAACTCTTGTTATTTAAATTGAACTCCCTTGGAGTTAGTTGTAAAATTATAAAAATGATCAAATCCATGTATAAAGATGTTAATTCAATTGTAAGGTTCAACGGTTCTTTGTCGAAGCAGTTTTGTAGTCATTCAGGAGTTAAGCAGGGGGAACCTCTGTCCCCTCTGCTTTTCCTGATATTTATCAACGATCTCCAGGATTTTCTTTGTAATGATAATCCTGATTATGTAAAGATTGGTGATTTATTAGTTTATTTATTGCTATTTGCTGATGACACGGCACTTTTTGCAAACTCTGCTTCAGCACTCCAAACACTGTTAGATAAATTTAGTCAGTATTGTCGCTCATGGAATCTTGAAATTAATGTTAATAAGTCCAAAGTTGTCATATTTCATCGTGGTAAACTATCTGCGAATTATACATTCAAGTTAGAATCGATCGATCTCGAAATCGTAAACGAGTATATTTATCTTGGTATCCTCTTCTTTCAAAATGGAAAGTTCCATCGCGCACATAAGAGAATTGCAACCCAGGGTAGAAAAGCGCTTGGCTCTCTCATCTCTATGTTAAAATCCTCTTATTTAAATACATCTAGCAAATGCTG